ACTAAATATTCCAAATTAATATACAATAATAACCTTATAACAATAATCAACTTCTACAAAAGCAACATGAAATCTTATATAAAAGCTAAAAACAACACAAACATATTCATGATTATATACAACTATATTACAGATCTAGACTCAGATAAGCAGTCAAGCAGAAGCAACAATAAGCAAGCTTATACAGCAATTTTTACAAAGCTCAATTTTTTATATGCTTGGTTACAGAATATCTAAATATTAATATAAACACCAATGATACTAGCCTAGTACTATTTATAAACAGATCTCTTAACTCTATTTTTATAAGCAACTCTAATACTAATAACACCAAAACTACTATATCTAATCTAGTACACTTACTAAACAAATCATACAATCTATACTTACTATATCTATCTAAAGCCTTGCTTCCAAGATATTAACTTTAATTGCAAAAAGCCTAGAATTATATCTAACATTTTCTTGCTTAATACAAATTTTAACAAAACTACCAAAACTATAGTTGGTAGTATTTCTATTTTAGTTAAAATACAAGCAAACAAAAGGACAATTACAAGATCTATCAATAGCCAAATCACCAAAACTAATCTTAAACTTCTTACTACTAAAGCTCTATAGATTTTAGAAATATATCTCAAAATTACTATATCTACTAACATCTTTTTTGATACAAATTTCTGGTTATTCAATATAATTGCAAAGGCTTTTAAACCTTCTAAAGATATCTACACCTTTATTAGCTACAAGCTAAATATCAACTATACACAATAAAAATTATTAGAAATAATTGCTTTCAAGTTTATATACCAGGATACTAGATTTTTATCACTTTTATACACAACTTCAAGACCACCCCAGCATATTAAAAAGAATATATAAATCTCTTTAATATTGCTCTAGTAGTACAGTCAACTCTCTCTATTCTGAACGGTCCGTTCTTATATGTAAAATTACTCAAAAGTTCAGTTCTCAAAGAGGTATTATATTACTAATCCGAACTTTATAACAAATTTACAAATGTTCTAGAGCTTTACGTTCAGTTCTCACAGAATTTATTATGGTTCGGATTAGAGAGAGATGACTGTTTATAGAAAAAAACAACAAGATTACACTTACTAATACTGTTACCCACAATATTATTTACTCTATTCTCAAAAAATACTAGTCTTAACCTAAATAAGATAATACCTCACCACTTATAGATGATAAATCAATATGGCATCACTAGATTAATAACTAACTTAGACCTCCTTTTGGCTGATCCTTAAATAAACCTTATACTGCATTATCATGTTCTACATATAGATGCAGTACTTATTCAGTAATTAGTATATATTGTCTGCACTAATATGTTTATATCTCATATCACCTTTTGGAGTGCTGCTATAACACAATCTGTATCTCAAGTACAACCTTTCTAGTTTTTTAAGAGCCAAAAAGTTAAAGTATAAATCTGAGATTTTGGTAATAATATAAAAGTCTGCAAGTTTTTTTTATATATAGCCAGATATTAAAGAAAGGATTGGTAAAAGATTAGAAATAGTTAATATATGCTAGCTATAAGTTATAGTAAGAAAAAAGAGAAAAAAGTTTTGTGAAATATATTTCTAGAAATTTAGAAAACTTAAAAATTTTTTTTAGAGTATTTACTATAGCTCTAGTATGTGATTATTATATAATAGAGTGTTTGAATAGCAAGATTTTCAAAATTTTCTTAAAAATTTGTATAGATATTTTAGATAATAAAATAAACTTGTTTTTGAGGGTATTGGTGATTTGAATTCTAATCTTCTTAGAGGTTTCTTTTTACTAATATTTTTGATTTATAAGAATTCTCTAATATATTAAATAGCTTTATAGATTTATCTACTATATAGAGTAAAACCTTTCTAAATACATACTATATAAGTGTATGCTCTATATAAATTCTTTTTAAATATATAACATAGCTTAGTCTCAACTTATAAGAGCACTATATATTTTGTTTTCTATAAATACATACTCTCTTTAAGTACACATTTTGCTTTTTTTTACTATAGTTTTGATGGGGATGCACTTAAAGAAATCTTACTATATATAGTTCTAAAAAAGTTGATATTAGAAAGATATTATAAAAATTTGTAACCAAAAAGTTTAAATAGATAGCTTCTTAGTTAGACTATAGGTATTTCGCACAACACTGATCATACCTCAACCCGGCACTACAAATACAGTGTGTGTTGGTCATCGCCATGATAGCATTGGCTAGTAGATTTAATCTGAATCCGAAGGAAATCTGATTTAAATCCGAAGACCAGGGGAATGATTTGCGTACATCGGTTTCGTGTAACTTCACGTACAAATTTTTTTTTTGCCAATAAAAATTGCTACGCCTCCAAAATCCGAAAATTACGGGTGCTAGAACTGCATTATCATTGGCCAAAAAAAATTGATGTACGTGAAGTTACACGAAACCGATGTACACAAATCATTCCCATAGTTCAAACTCTAGGCATAGATATGCTTGTGATATCATACATATTCAATTGCCCAAAAAACGTATTAGTATAGAAGGCTAAAATAATTAATCAGTGATCAAATTATTAAATTTGACATAACAAATTACGATGCACGATATGGTGGTATAAAATACCCTATTATAAATTTGTATCATACTGATCTGGTGTTGTTATGTATCGATAATATGTTTATTATCACTTCTTATTTGATTCCTATTTTCAATGTTTTATTTTGTGATGATTAAATAGCAATACACGTATTAAGTGCATAATAAGATATTTCTTCATATTTACTGAATTTTAAATTAGTTTGTAAATATAGTCGATTGTCTTTGAAATATTAAATGTTTTGCGAATGATAAATTACTAAATATAATGATTATGTTGCAATTAATAAATATAAAATTCTGTAAAATATACATAGTACTGAATTACCAGATCTTTTTGAATAATATTATTATCATATTAAAATAAAGTCCGAGTATCAATTTGTAATTTATCCATCTATGCAATTTCATAAAATTTGTCATTAGATATTCTAGTAAAGTTCCTTCGTAGGATATTGTAATTTATAGTTATTGCCCACGAAGTGGGCAATAACCAAGAATCAATCCCAAATCAGATGATCGGATAATGACCGGATGGCCAGTGTGCTATTCGGTCATTATCTGATCATCTGATTTGGGATTGATATTTGGTTATGTCCATTTCGCGGATAACTGATTTATTCCCAGGTTTTTTTTATACTTCTATACTTTTTCTTCAAAGTAAAATCACGTATTTCATAAAGTCTAGCTTATTACAGATCACAAAACTTCATTCGTTTATTTTTTTATTTTTTTTTTTTTAGCCAGCAACTTTTTACTCTTTGTAACTCTAATAGTTTAAAATAGGTTAAAAATTTCGTATATCATTAAAAAAAAAAAGTAAAAAAAGATATATAATCAAAAAGAATTATAAAAATCCCAGATCAGCCCAAATTTGAGTTCTGGGCAATAAGTGAGAAGGAATAGTTCAGAAGTATAAATATGAACCGGTGAATAAAACTATATTATAATATCCGTTACTATTTATATAATATTCGTCTTGATAGAATGAAATAACGTTTGGATGGTAAGAAACCCATCATAATAATATGAATTAAAATTTTATTATAATAAATAATACCACATTAAATAAAATCTATAATGGTTCTTTCATTTATGCTTGTATCAACTTTTAAGACATTTAAGAGAAACTGTTAATCCACTGTCTCTCTGATTACAATAGGATCTGTAAGCTTATTATATTCAATATAGTTAATATGTCCTTCGGAAAATAGCTTTTTCAAGCCATTCTTGTGGTATGGTTGTCATAAATTTCTGTACATACATATTGATATATGTGTTAGTACAGGCATGAACGTATAGTAAGTACTGCACATGCTTAAGTACGAACGTATCAGGTACGTATATACGTATATCTATTGGCATATAAAATAAAGATTTGTATTTAATTTAGAATCATATATATAAAATGAAATAATTAGCTATATTTATACTATTATTAATACGAAATCAAATAAAAAAAGTTAATTGAAAATGGAGATACGAAATCGGTTGGAACATGAAATTGATTGGGATACGAAATTGATCGATTTGTAATGAAATTGGTTGGAACATAAATTAATTGATATGTAAAGAATTATTTGAGACACGAAATTGATCACATCATACACGAAATTGATTGCATCAGAAACCCGAGCTACTCATAAATAGATAAGAGAATACTAAAGACAGCATTTTTTATTAATAAATTTTTTTTTTTATTTCTGGTTAAAAATAAGCAAATTATGTATGAAAAAACAAATTTGGATCGAACCTATCTATATATGGCTCGGGATCCTATTGCATCATATACGAATTTGGTTGCATCATACACGAATTCGGTTGCACCATACATGAATTTGGTTGCATTTTATACGAATTTGATTGCATCATACATGCATTTTATACGAATTTCATTGCATCATATATGCATTTTTATTCGAATTTGATCACATCATTATATGGATTTGATTGTATATTATCCAAATTTGGTCGGCAAATCCATATTTGGTTTAAAGTTTCTAATGCTTACACACTAACATTAAATTTTTTTAGTTTTACTGTCTTTGCTTGATATCATAATTCTTTGTTAAGATGTTGTATTAGCAAGTGCAAATAAGTACGTACATAATTACTTGCACAATGGTTCAACATTTCAAAGATTTCATTAGAATTCTAGATAGAATTTTATCTCAACAAATCAATTCGAACATAGGGACAAAATTTTTTATGCTTATTGATTTTGTCAATATAAATTTTAGTACTGTATTTAAACTTCGAATATAAAAAAATAAATATAAAAATGACCCTACTGCAGTATGAAATTAGTCAGGAACTCGTCTTCAAAAAGGACACATAATTTTATCCGTTATTTAGACCAAAGAATATAATTTAAATTTAATAACCATAAATAATGTTTAGTGTCTTATCAAATTTACGTGACGCAAATGAGGAATTCTCTCGCCAACTTGAAAAGCTTAGAGCAATCAGTCCAAATTATGCAACAGAATCTCTAGAGACATCTTTTAACTGGGATGAACTAGCTGCTGACATAAAGGATGTCGAAGGAGAGTGGTATCTCGTTGCTTTTCGATCTATCCGAAGAGCGGACGCTGATAATAAATTATTGTATGAAGCTGATGCTAAAGCCCACAATGAAGCAATACTTCATGGAGGTTTGCTGAAGGTAAATATTGCCTCATTTGTAAATTATCATTTTATATGCAAAACTAATACTATTTATACTATTTCTTTCTATAATTTTTAAAAGTATTGGATCGGTGAACTAAATCAATATCGAGAATGCCTCTCATTTTGTATTTGGACAAATAGAGATATTTCAATTAAAGCAACTCAAAAACATCGTCATACTGATGCAAAGAGATTGGCCGACACGATGTATGAAACCTATAGCTTAGAAAGGTATATTTTGAAAAAGACGAAGGGCAAGACTAAGATTAATATAAATCAAGTTTTTTGAAAATATTATAGTTTTTTCGAACTCGAGTAAATATAACATGTGATATTTATTTAACCATCTGTAGATCCAAGATAAATTTTTTTATTTTTTATTTAAAAACTAACAGAAGCACATGTAAGCTGCTTCGCTGCATTACCTTTTAATGAACATACTAATATAGATTATATAGTAAATGAATAATGTTTATGCTTAAATACAAACCGTGTTGAAAAGTATTATATAATATAATATGCAATTGTCATTATACTTGTTCACTAAACTATTAAATTGAGAGTATTAAGAGGTATAATTAATGATAAGATGATCCAATTTTAAATGTATTAACGGCATTCACTATATATATTTATATATATTAATCAAATTAATTCATAAAACTAAAAATATAGTAAAGTATAGTATTACTGTATTAAAAGTTTTTTTCAATTAAGTAAAGCGTATGGGCCAAAATTTCCGGTCTGAACATTGTGATTATTAAAATGATTATAAAATTTATATAAAACTGATTAGACCCATAAAGTAAACTATATAAAAAACTGATAAGTAACTGATAAGCAAATCATAAGAAATATCACTTTTAATCTTAATAGTCACGCCAAATCTTGCATATGATTGGTTTAAAATTTTTTATTCATAATAAAAACTGCGGAAATTGGAAATTTTGGCCCATACGGTAATCAGAATGATATATAGCTATGAATTATTAGTTTATTTAAATACACTGGTTAATAAAACATCACGATACTCACTAGATAGATTAATATAAATACAAAAAGGTATATAGTAAATTAGTACTGAAAGTTTATCACCGTTACACAAAGACATAATTTAACGATTAGTTTATTATTTTAGCAGATATACCATTTCTGCTATATCTTTAACTTGGACTTTTTGTATACTGTAACAATGATAAACTTTTGGATGTTATTGTATTAGCTTCACAATTTTACATATACTATTCTTTGCATAAAACTATGTCGTTTTTTCGTGTAACTGTGATAAACTTTTAGTACTTTACGATTGCAATTAAATTGCAATTTAAATAGCAATTATTAGCATAGTATTAGAATTGTAACTTTTTATTAAGTTTTTTTTTTTTTAATATTATGGTGACCACTTAGGCCCCTAGTACTTTATTAGTACAAGTGGTTTAGCCTGGTCAATAAGACTGATAACAAACTACATTAATATTATAAGAGTACAACTAGCCATATATACAACTTTTAATTATCTAATTTAAGTAGTTTGCCCTAAGATTTTATACTAGCTACCATACCTATAGCCTAAGAAAGCTATTTATTTAAAATCTCTAGCTTCAACCCCAGTCATATATTTCGTTCTAATACCCTTTTTACAGAATAATTTGCTAAATAAAAATCTTAGGCTTTAGTCTCCAATATCTAGTTTTTTTAAAAAAAAGCATTTATTCTTATAATAAACTTGACAAAGTGGTCTATATCCTACACAAATATCACTTGCCTTTGGTAACTTGTGCCATGGCTTTACCCATATATTTGAAAGTTATTCATTATCTATTTATGTCCTTACAAAATTCACTCAAATTTGGTATTTATGAACTTAGTTATTTCTAATTTATAGACTTTTTTTAATTTTTAAAGCTTCCAATCTATTAGCATGAAAGATTGAATATAACAAACTTTTAGTTTATGGTTATCTCAACCCTAATATATACTTTTATAATATATATTTTTTTCTTCTAGCTTGTTAAGAGTACTTTGTACTTTCTTTTCTTAAGAGTATATTATATTCTCTCTTTTTTCAAAAGTCTTTTGCACTCCTATTTCTAGTTAAAGTACCTATCTTTAGTTCAAAAACTTTTATATTATTGTTAAAAATCTATACTACCTCTTTATTTAGCTAGTTTCTGATTTTCTAGTTTTTTTTAATTTTTTATAGTTTTAAAAGATTTTTTGTGGGTCTGTATTGTCTAAACCAGTTTTATTGTTTTACTTATAATAAGTTAATCTTAGTTAGTATTTAAAAAAAGTAATGTACCCTATAAAATTTTTTTGTATAGGTAGAAGTATTTTATAAAGTATATTAAAAATAGCATTTAAAGTTAGAATATTATAGATAAATAACTTTGGTAATCAGAAATTTTTAATGTTTGCCTTAGTAATGGGGTTATATAACTTTTGCTATATTATATTTTTGTAAAATTAGCAAAATTCAACCTTTGCCAAAATAGAGTTAGAAACTTTGCAAAGTGGCAGAATTCTATAGTATTTAAAATTGTGAAAATAAGTTGAATTTATTAATTTGATTAAATATTTATACACAATAGCCTGATTCTATAGAGCAATAGCAAATTAGAAGTAGAATAGAGCAATTATCTAAATTTAAACTACTAAAAATAATGAAATTTACTATAAGCAAAATTTCAATAAGTTATAAAAAAATAATTTAAATAAAAGTTTAATAAGTTAAATAAAAAATAATTTATTAAAAAAACAACTTAAGCAAAAGTTTAGAAAGTTATATAAAAAATAATATGTGTAAAAGTTTTATAAATAATTTAAACAAAGGTTTAGTAAATAATTTAAGTAAAGAATTACCAAATAATTTAAGTAAAGGTTTAGTAAATAATTTGAATAAAAGTTTATTAAATAATTTAAGCAAAGAATTTATAAATAATTTAAATAAAGATTTAGTAAATAATTTGAATAAAGGTTTATTAAATAATTTAAGCAAAGGTTTAGTAAATAATTTGAGCAAAAATTTAATAAATTATATAAAAAATAATTTGAGTAAAAGCTAATAAATGATTTAAATAAGTTATATAAAAAAAATAATTTTATTTTTTTTATTTTTTTTTAAAGTTAAAGAGAATTTCTTAAGATAGCAAGATTTTAATAAATAAGTATTAAATACTATGCATTATTCCTTAAACTGTAAGCAATTCCAGACAAATTTGCCTAGAAAATTGCTATAAATTTGTTTATGATTTACTTTTTTTAAAATTCAAAATATTTAAATAAATTTTTTTTTAATAATATTTAAAAATAAAGATTATATTATAGTAGTATTTAATTTTATATTATAAAAAAAATGGTTGGATTACTTATAAGCTAAAAACAAATAAATTTAAAAAAAAATTTTAACTAAAAAAATTATTTACAAATTCTTGTCAAACTCTT